TAAACTGACTGCTTAATTGCCTTTTACTGTCTTGTTAGTTATATATGTACATTCTTAATGGTTCTTTAATCTTTATTTACCCGCATAAATAAATTACCTGGGAGTAGGACCCTACCAAACAGAACCTTCTCTGCCCCCAACCCTGACGAAACTCTCACCATTTGTTTGTTGCTGTTGTTGAGGCTTTTAACATTTATTGACTATCTGCGTACGTTAACATTTAACCTCATGGTTACGAAGGATTTTTGTTGTTGTTCTCAAAATACATATACTCATGAACGTTGAATCTGAGTTCGGTGGCGACACTGCTATTCACCTGATGAATTTCCGCATGTTCCACCCCTTGAACCCAGGCGCACTTGCTGGTTCCACCTCGCCGCGCGGATGGGTTTTATTGCATAGCCCTGGGGACTCTTAAATGACCCTTCAGTAATTATTACGCACTTGAAGCCCCAACGTCTCCGTTCCGGTGCTATCACCCAACAAATCAAACTTCAAAATAAACATACAATTTCAAGCATTAATTAGAAAATCTGCATGTTTTCAATAAGGCTATAAAGTAAGCCGACAGCAGTCAAGCAGACAAAACCAACCAGCGAAAAAGAAAGCTACAATCTGATCTCGGTTGCTTCCTTTCAAATCGGTCCAACGGGAAAATCGTTACCGTTACCTCCTCGAAAAGAACACAGCGTGCTGTTTCAATTTAACTCAAGTTCTGGTATTTCCCATAGATTTTTAAATGGGTGATATTTCCTTGTTGAGTATTTTAAGGGCTTCAAAAAACATGAAATTTACCCCCCAAAGACAAGAGACGACATGGGGTTCAAATTCGTGATTCTGACAAATGGAGAGCGGGCTGTCCACTTTAATAAAGGTTCCGATGCCACAAACCTAAGATCTTACAGCTCATGATTTTAATCTGTGGGAAAGTTTTCCCCCCTCCCCGCCCCCGCCCCCGCCTGCCCCCCGCCCTTTGCCTCGCGCCAAAAAGTCCTTCCCTGCTAACTGGCGGGGTTGGGTGGAGGGGGGAGACACGATACTGTCTTCCGTTCCCTCGATTTCAGTAGTGCTCCCATTAATAAAATGTTCATGATCCCACAGGAAACGAAATCGTTCCAGAACCTTTAAAACTTCAGTACGTGTTGAATTGTTTTATCCTATGCCCCGCTGAAAAGATGACGTCGTCTTCATTAATTTTAGAAAAGCTCACAAGTTTGCAAACTCGAGCAAAACTTTTGTCACTTTTACTTTCTCAAACAAAACAAAACAGTGCTTTTCATAAATGTCAAATTGAAAGGGATCGATATAAAAGAAGGGTAAGCTCCAACCGACCTATGCTTGGGTCTCTTGGCTCAAACTTTGAAATTGTTGCAAACCTCCCACGCTCACTGGTGATTCTTAAAAAGGGTTAGGGTCCTATGAAAGTGTATCTCCAGCCCCAATCAAAACATCAATTTGGCAATCTGGCCTCTCTCTCCCTGCACCCCCGAGCTGCCACTTCAAAGCTGCTGCAACAAGTCAGTAATTGTAACTTTGCATCTAAATATTTAAGCGCGAGTCTTGCAGTCGCGTGTCCATTTACAGTCCTCATCTGTCCTCTAATTCCATTACGGCACAAAGCAAAAATGTTTCCCAAAACTCACAAACAGGAAAAGCGTCACCCTGCCGCTGGTGGAGGAGGAGGAGGCGGCGGCTGGGGGGAGGAGCTGATGAAGGAGCAGTTTCTATTGATTAGTCACCGCTTTTGTGTTAAGGGCTTTCTTTAAAATAAGAAGAAAAAAAATGGGGGGAGGTTGCAGAAATTTCACTAATGTGAGCCTCAGGCAAGGAAGGGGGAAAAAAGAGAAGAAGGAGGGGGAGGCGGGCTGTGTCTAGATGAAAGTGAGGAGGACATAAAGGAGGCAATTGAGTCGGCTGCAGCCCGTCGAGCTAAGCTTCGAGCGGCCGGAGCGCAGGGGAGGGGGCGGCGCGGCGCGGCGCTTTGGCTCAGGGCGCAGGAGTGGGGGCCGTGCCCATTGTGGCGGCGCCCGCGGGCCCGCTCCGCCGCGCCGGGGGAGGAACAGAGGCGCCCATTGAGTGGCCGCGGCGCGGGCCGTGCCCACAGCCCCCCAGTTGCCGCGACCGGGCTGGGTTCCTCCGGCTGCGCCCGGTCGGCTCTCGGTGCCGACTGGGGAGGGGAAGGAAGGGGAGTGAAGAAGGTCCTGGGAAGGGTGCGGGATTCCTGGCCGCCTAACCCTCTCCTTCCACCCTGGCAAAACAGCTGGAGGTGCAGATCCGAGGAGGGGCGCGCAGAGACTGCTGCGTGCCGGGGCGCACTGGCCTGCGCGCACCGGGTCGGTCCGCCACGCTCTTCTTGGATGGGGCAAGGCACAAGGCAAATTTGGGAAAGGGAATGGGGCCATCAAGAAGGCGACCCCGAGGAGAAAAACGAGAGCTGTTCTGACCTCTTTCAGGGTGCCTCTCACCCTATATCCTAGTCTCTGACAAGTAGAAAGATGGACCCGAGAAGAGCCAGTTAGCAACAGCCGGCAGGCCGAAAGGGAATCTGGAAGCTTCAGAGAGTGCGCGCCGCACTGCTCAGGACGCTCAAACTGCCTTCCTTGGGCCCGTCTGGGAGCTCAGACCCCTTTATCAGCATTCATTCTATTTTCCGAGCCGGGCAGCCTGGGACTTTTGCTGCCCAAACGACAGGGAATCTTTTTTTTTTTTTTTTTTTTTTTTTGAGATTTCTAAACTTCCCTTCAACTCCACTCCACTCTGTCCTTTCTCTGGGCCCCTCTTGCCCTCCAGGGCTCATCTGGAAAAGGAGCTAGAGGCGCTAAAGAGACTGACGCTGCCTCTTGCTTGACAACCCCAAATTAAATTAGACTTCAGCCTCCGAGGTGCGTGTATGTGTGTGTTTTCAACGGTTCAGCCCCGCTGGGGAGAATACTCTGCTTTTAAAAATGGTAGCAATTGCCCTTGAATGGCAGCAGTCCCTGCTAGACGGCGCGAAAGACTAGAAACATTTTGTAGGTGAAATGGCCACTTTTTCCACGGCTGGAGAGTCCATAAAACTTCCTGGCGCAGCAGCTCTTGGGGCTCATTGAATAATTCATCCCTCATTGCAAGCCCATAATGTCTATTCTCAGCCCTTTGTGGGGCTGTTTTCTCTTCTTTTCTCCTTGAATTATAAAAAGGTTGCCTTCCTTTGTTCACATCAAGCTGCTGCGAGGGGGAGCTTTGTCTGGGCCGAGCTAAAGTGTGAGTTTCAATGGACTCTCCCGGCTTTGTCTCCCAAGTTCATCTCCAAGTGTAGATTGTGTAGAGAAGGCTTTCTTTGTAAAAGCTGGAAAAGTTGTACAAATGTTTGACCAGCTCATTTGGGGCGTTTTGTCTCCTGGGCCCTCGGTTGCCGGTGTGGTGAGGGAGCGGTGGAGCTGCGGCGCAGGCGCCTCCAGCAACAAGTAGCAAAGCCCGGCCACCTCCACCCCCCTTCCCAAGCCTCCCTCTGGGTTCACTGCCTGCAGGGTCCCGGTGGGTTTGGTGTTGGCTGGCTTCTCGCCTTCCTCCCTCCCCAGCACCTCCAATACAGCAGCTAGACCAGGACTAAAAGCCAGGCATCCTCTCAATGACAAGGGCAGAAAGGCACCCCTCCAAAAAGAAGGGCTTACACTGAGTCCGTGTGAGACCCCTGCTTCAAAGGAGGGAAGCCACAGGGTATATGTCTTCTCCACTCACCCTGCCCTGGATTTTTATGTCTTGATTGCCTGCATGTGCCAGAGCACCTAGGCATCAGTTTAGCCCTATAATCTGTGGTTTGGATTTGTAACGTCTAAGTCTGTGTCTCTTCGAGGTTGTGTCCAGATTTTGTATTGATTTGTAAAGCTGCCGGCTCTGGAGGGCCAGTGGTCTGCGCTGGAGTTGAGCAATGGAAGTAAGAGAAGCAACCAGTTTCCTGACCCACAGTACTACCCAGGACACCACCAGCGGGCATCTCAGATCCAAGTGGGTGATCGCTCCAAGCCCACCTGGAGCACCGCCTGCCCTTCTAGGTCAACTCAAAAGTCCACTCAGCCTCAGGAGTCTCAGTCCCCAGCAAGGGAAGGCCATGTGTGGGTAGGGACACCGGGCAACTCCCGACTCTTTGAGCCTTGGAAGAGGTGCAACCATCCCCCAGGCCAAAAGTGCTGAGAGGCAGAACTGCGGAGACTCTCCTTGTGCCAGAGATCCCTTCCCCGTTCAACTCCCACGGGGTTGACTTTTTCCGTGGGGCTCTGAAGAAAACCCCAAGGCTACACTTAAGGCTCCACAGGGGAGGTTTTCTCTTGAGGCTGACAGTTCCCATCCAAGGAGAAGACACCCCTGGGAAGACAAAGTGCACCCACACTTCGAACCCGAGATCCCAGAGCCCCTCGGCTTGTAACCGAGATCTTAGGCTTGTTTTTCTTCCCAGACACACACAGTTCAAACCCTACCACACTTGAAAACCAATTTAAAACAAAGGAAAAACCACCGACGTACACATATACGTTTATAAGGCAATCAGTGTGATGAAACTTTGAGAACCTACTGCCTTCAAGAGTTTTGAGTCTCTCTTCCTCTCCCCCCTGCCTACCCCCTGTCCCCAATCAAGAAAGCTCTTTGGAGACTCTGGGCCTTTCCTAAGGGCGCAAAAAGTTCCTTTAACCTCGGGAGGCTCAAAGACTGCCCCCCAGGCCCCAAACTGCTCAGATTCAGTCCTGCAAGCCTGAGGGCAAGAGGGTAGCCCCTCAGTCAGACCGCTGAGTGGTGCGGAACGAAGATTTATAAAACAGAAAAGAGAGAGAGAAGATTTTTGTATTCCATGAAGGTGCATCTCGGATCTTTCTCGTCAATGCTCTTACCCGGGTGCAGCAGATACTAGCGAGGAGGGACCGCGACCTGAGCCGGGGAGGCGCAGCCCTGACTCCTCCAAGGTCAGAGCGCGAAGTCCGGGAGGCGCGGGCCCGCAGGGCGCCGCCCGGCGCGCCGCCGCTTACCTCGCTCGCTCAGGATGCCGTCGATGCTGTGTTTGGCTTTCTTCTCACTCTCCTCTGCCTCCTTCCTCTCCAGGTCGGCCTCCTCCTCTTCGCCTTTCCCGAATTTACTCCTCAGGATGCGGCTGATGGAACTCACTGGAGGCGGGAGGAAGAAGGGGGCGCAAACCACTGAGATGTGCAGGACCATGCTGGAAGGGGCTCCCCAGCCCCTAATGGGAGTGGGGGTGAAAAAGGCCTGCCCTGCACCGTTTGCTTCTGCCCCCTCCTGCATCGTTGGGCATCCTTGTCCTTCTACACCCCTCCTCACCCTCCCACTCAACCTCCCCCCATCCCCTCATTGTACAATCGTCTTCTAGGATCGCGGAGACCGGAGCCTGGAAAGCTCGTTCCTCCGGGTTAGGGGCAGGGAACAGCCGTACCGGTCCTCTCTCCCCAGTAGGAAGCCTCCCTCCTGACTCCACAAACAGGTCTCTAGATCTCCAGTCTCAGAAAATTCTCCCGCCAGCCCACCCGGCACACCCCCACCCCAACCTGAAGGCACTGCGCCCCGCGGTTCGCGGTATGGCAGGAAGAACAAGAGCGGACCCGTCCCCTGCAATTTGACTGTTTTTCTTTTCTTTTGAGACCATAAAGGGTTTAAATTTCAACTGCAGAATCGTTTCCTATTGTAAAAATCAAAAGAAAATGCACTCTTCCCCGTTTATTTTTTCCAGATTCCAGTCTGGTAAACAAATCCGTCCTCTGAAATATCTCGTTCTCGCGGGGGCGGGGGGGGGGAGTTTCCTTTTAATTAAAAACAAACCCGCGCGCCCTCGCGCTCGCCCTGCGCTCGCCCCTCTTCTTCCTTCGCCTCCCCCTGGCCGCCGGGGGCGCCGGATGGTCCCTGGGACTCTCCCGGAAAAAAAATCTCCCGGCCGTTGCCGAAGCCTCCCCTCCCGGGCGCGCACGGAGAAGCCTCGGTTGGCGCGGCCCCATCTCCCTTCGGTTAGGGTTACCAAAACATTTGTTTCTCTTTAAAAGGAAACATCAATATTAATAAACGCTCGGCCTCCGCCTCGCGTTTCCTGCCCTGCGCCTTCGACAGAAACCCTCTTTGGGGAGCCCTGAGCGGCGGTCTCTCAACCCCAGGACAAGCAGGTGATCACTCCCTCATAAAACGTCTAGTTCGTAAATATCTCACAGCCCCAGGAGGGACCGCCTCCCGATCGTCCCGATCGATCACTGGGGGGTGATTATGGTTCCGATGGCCCGCCCGCATAATAGCGACTGACGCCTCGTCTTGGGAAGACGCAGATGCGCCTGGTACCTGAGGGTACGGTGTTTCGATCACAGACCGCGTCCTTGAGTAATTTGTCTCGAATTTCCCAGCTGAACATGCCGGGGTTCTCTCTTTTGTATTCCTCTATTTTCTTCTCCACGTCAGGCGTTGTCACCTGCTTTAAGAGAACCGGCAGACCGGCGTTGGTACCCAGTCCTCTGGGCCCGATATGGCAGCCTCACCGCCTCTGGGCCTGGCGGGATGCTCCTTCTTGCGCCCCATGGCAAGTTCCCCCTGGTTAGCAAAAGGACCCCAACTCTCTGAGCAGTGTACTTTAGAAAGGGACAGGGAGGAAACCATCCCCACCCTCTCCTCCCCACATGAGCTCTCACAGTTGGGATAAAATAAGAAAAGGTATGACCTCTTGGAAGGGGTGTACTTTCTGATCCTGGGATTAAAGAAAGGCAACCCTTACTCTGAATCAACATGAAAATGAAACCAAAAAAGGAAGGCTTGAAAGAGGAGCTGAAGAAATCAGGTTAGATCTGTAACTTGGGCCTTTCCAAAGGAACTCAAGGTTTTAGCTCAAGTGAAGAGCAAAATGAAACACAAAAGCTGAGTCTCCAATAAAAGTCAGAGTGGTAGCAAATATGAATAATTGGAAAGACAGGCTCTTTATTCCTGCCCCCCACCCCCAAGAAAGAGTTTCCAGAAATTCTTAGAAAGGTTGCAAAGCGTGCTGGCATGCAAGGAAAGGCAGTTGTCTGGAAATTTTCAGTTTACCAGGACCCTCCTTTTGGTTTTGCCCTGTGGCAACCAGAAAATTATACTGGATTTTCCCCACATCCAGAAAAAAGGACAGCTGTAGGCAATCCCCTCCCACTCAGCCATAGCCAGTGTGATTCTCTATCCTTTTGTAAGGAGAACCAAAATAAATTTGAGGATAGCACCAAACTGCCTTTTAAAAGCCAAGTCATCGGCTCATTACAAAGAAAGCAAATCACCCTAGCTTTTGATTCCTTGAAGACAATTGGGACTGGAGGCAACTGCGGAGAAGAGTTGGGAGCGAAACCATTCAAAAACCAAAGTGACTCCTTGTATTAAATGTGGAATGGGCAGTGCAGTCGCTGGGAGCTGGGGAGATACTTGGAGAAGAAACCAGCAACAGGTGAGCACCTACAGCTTGCATGCTTTGGGTGTCTGCCTAGTAAAACAGTTTGATGCGAATTTCAGGATTCTGAGGCATAAAAAACAAATGCTTTATCTCCTTCACTAAAAGGCTGGAGTTTTTCCTTAGCATTTATTAAGGAGTACCAACTCAAACAGCATTGTAGACCCTTCTCTCCACCGGCACCCCCCCGCCCCCGCAACACACACACATACACACACACCTTCCCAGACTTGGGGAAAAAAACACCTCCGAAAGTCCCAGCTGGCAGTCCTTTCCCGCTGCCCACTCTGCCCTAACTCCAGGCCCCACAGGCAGGAGGCCGCCAGGGCCCGGCCAAGCTCACCTTGGGCTTGCTGCCACCAATGGCGCCAGGGCGGATGGAGCCGGTCTCCTGATACCTGCATAGGATCTTAGAGACGCAGCCGTGGGACACACGCAGCTGGCGGGAGATGACGCAGGGCCGAATGCCATGGTGGGCCATCTCCACGATCTTGTGGCGGATGTGGTTGGGTAGTGGCCTGCCGTTGATAAAAACACCTCCGAGCTGGTTGACCCGGCCCTGACCGAGGGGAGTGGACACTGGGAACAGAAGGCAAGAAGAGAGACAAATGGAAGATCATTTGGGGAGAGAGGAGAGCAGCCCAAAAGATGAACCCCAATTTCACACTCTTCTGGCCAATCCGCATGTTACAGCCTTAGCACTGAAATTGCTACATTCGGGCTCCCAACCTGAGACCCTATTTCAACCACACTTGTTCAAACTGTTAAGCAGTTCAAGGGCACGTAATCTTGTGCGACAGGAGCAACCAGGGCAAAATAAACTCGCTCCAGTGAACCTGTCTTCCCTCTGGACCCAAAAAAGGGGACAATTTGCAGGGGCGGGGGTGGGAGGGTGGGGTGGGGAGACCTGGAGGCTGGTGAAGGAACAGCCTCCCTGCAGAGAGAAGTTCACCCAGGCCTTCTGCGGCTGGCATTAAACCCTGTCTAATTGGGGCGTCTTTCTTTCTGAGAGACTTGGAGGAGTTGACAACCCTTTGGGTTTTGGCCTAGGAGTGCCACAGCCAAAGGTCAAAGCAAGTGAAAGCAAGCTGCAGGTGTCAGCTCGAGTCACCTGTTACACCTCGGGCCAGAGACAACAGTCCAGTCTGCTCAGAGGCCCCTCGCCTCCTCTGGTGCTCTGGTTATTATTAATAATACATCCTATTTCAGACTGAGGGCCAAGCCCAGGCGACCAGAGTCAGCATCCCGGCTCAGGCGCCCCAACCTTGCAAACTATCTAGAAAGTCCTAAAAGGGACTTGCAAGGTCTCCTGCCTCCCTGGAGTCCAGAACCTTCAGACTAACTAAAAGGCAGTCCCCCAAACAAGTTGTGGAAACTTCCAGATGAAGCTGGAGATAAATGGGGCCCTAATTAAGGAATCAATTAATACTAAAAATTTCCCTGCACGATTCTGCAGGGGCATGCGCCACCACAACTTTGCACCCCCTAAGAAAATCCTTCCAGAATTAACAAGAGTTTAGCAAATACAGGAACAGCCAGGGTAGTTTTGAGATGCCTTCGGGGGCACAAAGTTGCTTGCTGGTGCTCAAAAGTCGGTTGATCCCTGCCCCACCAAGGCATTTCCAAAACAACAGGCGAAAAGCATACCGGCCCAGGAGCAGGCCTGGCCGCCAAGCTCCGGCAGGAGTTACAGAGAGAAGACGCTTCGTTTACCCAGAGGAAATCGAGAGGGGATCTGGCCCGACTGTTCCCTCCTGATATGGGGGTACCCCGGGAATGGGCTCCTGGACGCGCCGAAGGGGTCCGTGGGGACCCCGGCTGGGTGGAGCAGCCTGGCCGCGGACCCACGATCTGGGCGGCGCTGAGGCCCTTTCTTACCTTCCAGCGGGAACCCGCTGCGCGGGTAGCTCTGCCCCGGGCCCGGCCGCATCATCCTGGGCACAGCTCCGGCCAGTGTGGTCATCCTGGGGGCAGCTTCGCTTGGAAATTATATCCAGGTGAAGGCGAAATAGACGAGACAGGCGCTGGCGACCCCAGGCAACTCCCCCGAGCGTGGAGAGCCCCTCCCCAAAAAGGCTGGAGAGAAAGGAGGGACCCGGGGAAGGGAGGCGGCTCGCTCTTCGTCCAAAGAGAAGCTCGAGGTGGAACTGGGTAAAGGGGTTGGGCAGGGAGGCCCCGGGAGTCCAGGATCCCGAGCCCAGGGCGGAAAAGTTTGGTGCGAGTCTGGGCCGGCGGCCCCGCGGCTGGGAGCGCTGGGGAGGGGGCTCGGAGCTCGGCAACGAGCCGGGGAGGGGGGTCGGGGGCGGGAGCGTGGCCGGCCTGAGTCTCCTCCCGTCGTGACACCGAGTGCGGGGATCTGGGCTCGGGAGCATTTATTAGTTCTTTCACCCAAAGCTTGGTCAGGAGCCCTGAGCTGCGATTGGCCGACGGGGAGACCGTCCCGGGTGGCGGAGGTACGCGCTGATTGGGCGACAGCGGCCACTTTCTCTTCCGATCCCCGGCGGTGCCCAAGCCTCGGCCGGCCCGGAGAGGGACCCGCGCTGCGCCTCTAACCTGGGGAAAGAAGGGTAGACCCAGGGAAACCCGCAGAGACAGTACGCAGGAGATGCCGAGACTGAGGAGGGATCCGTGCCTGTCTGTCTGTCACTCCATGTATGTCTCTCTCCTTGACTTTCTCTTTCTCCGTCTCCTCATCTCTCTGTGTATCTCTGTGCCTCCGTCTCTGACTCGTCCTGTCGTTCTGTCTCTCTCTGTGTCTCTATGTCTCTGGTTTTCTACCTGTGGCTCTGCCTCTCGCCCATTTTTCTCGGCTTACTGCCAATGAAGGGGGCGCCGTTCCAATAAGAAGGCATTGGAGACCCCAGACCTCTTTAGTCTTCCTTCTTCTGGCCCATGCCCCTTGGCCTAGGCTTATTATGAGGGTCTTCCCTATGGGGTTCCTCCCAGAAAGAGCCCAGGATGTGCTGAGAAGTTCTTTTGTCTTCACCGTCAGCCGGGACACTGAAGCTTACTTAGGTAGTGGCCGGAGGCCCCAGTCCTGGTTACCCGAAGCCTGGGAAGGGGAAGAGAAAGAAAATCATCTCCTCTTTTTGATTTTAAAAAAAACCCTCTCAGAAGCCCCACCTCTAAATCTAGAGGTACAGATCCCCCAATGCTCCGGCAGAGATTCATCTATATGTTAAAGTTTTGCCCGGCTGCAGCGTTTGTTCTCAGGAATTTATTATGGTATTCAGACTAAACTGCTGGAAAAATAAAAGGAGCAAAGTCTTGGCTAGGAGCTGAAGTATCCCCAGCAGGATATGACGCCAGGAGTGTTGTAAAGACTGTCTGTCCTTAGAGAAGGTGCTATTGTGCATAGGCTTTTATTTATAACTTGGTAAGTGCCAGCGAACTCGCCTCCTTCACACCCCCGAGTGCCAGCCCCGCGCTCTGCACTGCGCTTTATTCGCTCAAGTCTATTCAGAGACTGTCACTCTGGGCCTGCGAGGTATTCAGGGCCTTAATCAATCAAAAGGATGAGAATCGGGCAGGTTTTTCCCTTTGAAATAAAGGAAACAATGACTTCTGGGCTTCAAGTTCCCCCTTTTCCTTTTACGATTTTTGATTTTTTTCTGTGTCGGAGTTCTCCACCCTCTCTTGTCCTTTTCCCCCTCAACTCATTTGACAGTTTTTACGTGAACTCAGCCCCCACCCCAACCCCAACTCTCCACCCCCTAATTAAGTCAAACTAAGAAGGCAAGATGGGCGGTTGGGGGGAGTAGAGCTGCTCAACTGTGTGGGAGCCGGCTCTTTAAAACTCCACTCGCAAGTGGGAAAAGCCGGCAGCTTTCATCTCAGCCCAAAGTCAAAAGGTTTGGTTGACCCTCTGAGCAATGGGAGACGGGCAATGGAGACACCAGAAAAAGTCTGGACACCCCCTCACCCACCCAAGGGGGAGGCCCCATGCATTCGCATTACACTGGAGAGATGCTGATTAGCATGCAGCCCTGTTTAACTTGGTTTTACACAAAATGATTCAGTTCGTCAGGGGGAAAACGTTCTCACTTCCTTCTTGCACACTTGAGGGCCACCAAAGCCTGTGTCCTGTTTCCTTCGCTACTTCTCAAGAGCTGGGCTTTTTCCAAGTTTTCTGCCACTAAAGCTTGAGCGGAACAGCCAGAACACCTTCTAGGGTCCCTGGTTCTTGTTGGAGGAGGGAGGTACCCAAAGTGCGTTTCACGGGAGCAAATGCAAACTCAACTCGCAGTTAAAAGGAACCCGGGAACCACTCCCAACCACCGGCAATGACGGTGTAAAAAACTTAAAGAACGGCCAGGGCTGTGTCTCATTTGTTGCGGAGCCGAGGGCTTGGTCTTCAAGCTCTGCCCGTGGACCCAACACTCTCTCTCGGGATGTTCTCTCTTCCCAGGGCCCGTGGATCCGTGAAGGGACATGAAGCCAAAGGCTCACTCTCCCAGGTTTTGCATCCTCCTCGCAACCGTAGAGCTGGCAGGACCCTTGAATGGGGATACCGCTGATTGAAACTGATTTCGAATGCCCATAGGTGCCGGGCAAGCACGCACATCCATAAACTGACCACCCCTTGCTATAAAAATGTAAAAATGGAAACCAGAAAGGGTAGGGTGGGGACCTGTGGCCCAGGAATCTCTCTTTCCCGGACTTCCCCGCCCCCCCCCCGCCCCCGCCAACCAGAGCGCTCTGGCGTTTATATGCCACCAGCTAACTCGACTCTTCCCCACCCTGGCAACAGCTAGAGGAACCTGAAGACCGAGAGATGGGTGGGAGGACATCCTCAGGTGCTTGGGCCTGTAAGGTTGCGGGATCACTTCCGAATTCCCCAGAGTCCAAATTCCCTGAGGTTGGTAGACCTGAAGTCTGACTCGGGAGGGCCGGGACAGCAGTGTTGGTTGAGACTCCCGGGCCAGTGATGCCCACTGCAGTCAAGACAGACAGGGGGGAGGGGGTCTGGTGGAGGGAGGGGGGGGGAGGCTGTCTCGCATCACCTGAGCGCTGGTCACCAGAGGGCAGAGTGGTTACTGGTTCCCACCTGGTTTCTCAAGCAGGCACCTGATTCTACACTCCAGCCCCTCCTTCCCTGTCTTCGAAAGCTTGGGCCTCCCCTTATTTCTTTCCAAAGTCTCTGGAAGCCAAAGCTAGCCCATCCCCTGACTCCTGCAGCAGGAAAGGACTCTCCACCAGGCCCCACCCCTGCCTGGAACCTACAGACCACCGAGTCCCCGTTCTACTCATTGGCAAAGAGTGACCCTGCAGTGGGCTTGGAAGACGAGTGCCTGTGCCATGCAGCCCTGAGTCCAGGTTTGGGAGGCAGCGTCATTTCTGCTGACAAATTATCCAGAAAGCAGCCAGAGAGTCTGTAGCTCAGTTTTGTGAAGGAGGGTGGTATCCACCCGCACTGTCTGTGCATGTGCAAGATGAAACTGGAGCCTTGAGGACAACGGTAGGATAATTCAACCAAAACAAGATCATGACTTACCACTGCTTCCTCCGGCACCCCCAGTTTCAGAAGCCCTTCAGGTGAAATAGACAGCAGCTTCCCCTCCCAGCTCCAGGGGAGGGGAGGACAATGCCCAGTTCCTAGGAAGCTCTCCCTCCTGGCAGGATTGGATGCAGGGGTCCACAGTCCAGTCAGGTTAAGTGAAGTCTGCCCCAGGCCAGGTGACACCCAGAACACAGCTCCCTCACTTGTGGGCCCCAGGCCACAGTCTTTCATGACCCATGGACTTCTGTGTCTCTGAGAGACGATGACCTTATTCTATCTGGACACGGGCCTTAAGAGGAAATTATGATCTATATAAAATAATGTGCCTGAACTGGAGGGTGCCTGCCACCCAGATCTTTTTTTGCCTTATCTTGAGGTAGTAACCTCTGGGGGAAGGCATCTGACCTCCTGCCAGGTCTCAGGCATTTCAGGAGGTAGTCCTAAGGCTTGAGCAAATGCAATGGGAAACCATCAATTCTTGAGAAATGTTCCCCAGGAAGAAATCAAAATGCCAGATCCTGCCCACGCATTTCTTCCGGACACCAGATTGGTGATTGCTCAGGAATAAACCTGAGGCCTATCTCAGAGCCGGACTTAGCTACTGTCATCAAGCTCCCTGCAGTTTTTCATCAAAAGCTGTGGCACGTCTCTTCTTCCTTGTCAGAAAATCGGTTGGGATGGGGTCGGATTTAAGGACTAGATGGAAATGTGGGCGTCTCACTGAAACGTGGAGTGGATCAGCTGCAGTGGTTTTCCCCTGTAGCTGGGGGAGCTGCCCCAGAACAGGTTCTCAATAAAGAACATATGGTTTGTGAGAAAAGAAAAAAAGGAGGAAAGGAAAAAGAAGGGAGAAAAAGAAGAGAGACGTAAAAAGTATTTTTTGAAAGGCGGTGAGGGAAGGAGAGAATGAATGTCCCAGCAACTGGCCTCCTATCCATGTTCATTTGGTTCTGCAAAAATTATTTTTTATGCAAATAAGGAAGGCAGGATGCCAGAGTCTGTTGTGGGGTGGTGGAGGGCAGGGAGTTCAGGAGAAGAGTCTCATAGAATACTACTCTTTAGCCTTCAAAAAATGTCCTGCCCAACTAGGAAAGAGTGAGTGTGTTGCGGGCTGGGTGGGAGGTGTTGTTGAAATTTAGAAGAGAAAGTCCCAGTAACTGCTCTGCTGGTGCAAACCCCATGTGAAGGGATCCTGGCGGGTGGACGTAAAGATTGAGGGGTCTTAGAAAGGGGATATTATTGGGAGCAGCCTGGGTCTTGAGGAAGAGAGGAGGTGCACAGGTCAAGTGGGGGCTCTGAAGTGGGGTGCCACAGCAGGGCTCGGAATGTGCCCATGACCGCTGGGGGAAGAGGAGGTCTTGGGGTTTCCTTGACATTGGGAGCAGAAAGAAAGGCAAATGACCACGTGGGGAGTGGGGGGGGGGAGTGTGCCTGGACTGTGAGTTCAGATGGCTTGGTGTGGG